TGCTTCGTTCTCGCATATGGATCGTCCGCGTACTCCAGATCGACAAGTTTCTTAACAGCAAAGATTTGAACACCGGAGTTTTCAAAAACCTTCTAGAGCTCGTTCCACCATCTCGTTGTCGACGAAGTTGAATAAGAATGTAGAGTTGGCATCTTCGTCGAACCCCCCTTCTTTAGGGAAGCTTTTGGAAAGCTCACTCGCACGTCCAGCATTCTGTAGACATATGGAACGAATTATACTCACAGACCTCTGGGACATACCCTACTGAGCAAGTGTGGTTAACGGCACTGACTGATCAACAGAATCAAACGCACCCTTGAAGTCAAGGTATACCAGGATTGTGGGTCGTCTGTAAGTATGGCGTTGCTCTAACACATGACGGAGTGTGAACATGTGGTCAACGCAGCATCTACCCGATCGAAATCCCACTTGATTCTAACGAGTCAGGGCCTCGTTTGCCACCGTAAAACGACGAAGAATCAGTGACGCCAGAAGCCTTGTTAAAACAGGCGTCAAAGTAACACCGCTGTGGTTGCTACATATACTGCGAGTACCTTTTCTGAAAATGGGCACTACTACAGATTCATCCCAATCGTCTGGGACGGTCCCCTTCTCCCAGAGAGACCCGAATAGGCTAGACAGGCCTTGGGTGGGGAATCCATCGTTATCCTTGGAAAGAGCAGGTGGGAGGACGTCAGAACCAGCAGCACGATGACGCCTGAGTCGGACGCTTCTGAGACCAAAGGCAGCTCCATATTTACGGTCTACCTTTCTGTTGAAGGCCAGGATTCTGGATTGGAATTAGCAGGTGACCAGCTGAATCGCTGTTCGAAGTACTGTGCCCAGCGGTCAAAACGTTCTGGTTTGCTGCATATCAGGGAGCCATTTTGGTCTCTGATCATTTCGCTGACAAGAGGTTTCCGAGGGCCAGTTAAACAGATCAAGTGGCACAGCCTGCAGATGTTCCCAACATTTTGCCTCCTCCATTTCTTCGGCCTTGCGGGTCCACTGAGCATCTTGGTCTGCACCGACACTTAGATTCACTTGGCTTCAGATGACGCGTGGGATTGAGTTGTTGTTCAGACCATCCCATAGTAAAGCCACAGTCCTATCGGAGATACATTATTTGGATGAGGTTGGAGGGGTTGTAACGCAAAAGTTCCTGCCTTGAGTAGCGCTTTGGATTTCTTATCCCAGCTGCCGTTTAAATCCAACACCGGACCGTCCGGCAGGCGTTCGGGGAGCCAATTTTAAAAGTTTCGTTTGGTGTCTGAATCAACTGCCTTCTCAACGACTATCTGTGTTATGCGTGTTTTGCATGGGCCTGAAAGGCGACAGCGCACAAGTGTATGGTCGAAATCCATGCTGGTATTTCAGGAGAGGCAAGTAGTAGTTGACCACCGCCACCAGTAACTGATGGCGATGTGGTCTATTTGAAATGGGGGCTGGATCGTTGGTGGATGCCATATTTTCAAGCAACTTGCGCTGTTTGGAAATCGGCACTACAGAGGAACAGTCAGTGATGAACACGCATCTGAAGCAGGCGATCTACCTTGTCCGTGCGTCTCGTGCTCAATCCAAGTCGACCACCAAATCGGGTCTGTCTACATAAGCATTCATGCCACCAGCAGCCACAATGAAGACTAAGATCTTAGCAAATTTTAGGTCATAGAAACTGTCTCTGGCAGATTCAGAGCCATAGTCGCTTGGGGCGTAAGCAGGCACAACATGGACCTCACTTGCTCTAGATTCTTCCACAAACGTTGTCAGACTTACATCTCAGATACGACCATCGACAAGTAGCCAGTCAAGTAGAGACGCTTTCGCTCGGTCATTCAATTCAATAGCCATCCCGGCGTGCCAAACTACAGCGGCTTCTGCAACACCAGATGTGCGCAGCCGGAACCTAGAGGAGAGGGTATAGTCGGTTCAATTACAGTACTTGTGTCTTGTATCCTAGCTTTTGACAGACAACATACATCAATGCAGAAGGAATCCAGCGTACGAAGACAGCTACATGTTGTCCTTCTCGTTTCAGCGGGCGAACATTGAAAAGACCCTTTTTCAGGGTTTTGAAATGACTTTGAAGTGAACATACATCATGCAGAAGGAATCCAGCGTACGAAGACAGCTACATGTTGTCCTTCTCGTTTCAGCGGGCGAACATTGAAAAGACCCTTTTTCAGGGTTTTGAAATGACTTTGAAGTGTTTAAGGTTTTTACTGAAGTCGGACGTACAGTAGCTGCAGCTGAGTTTGATGAACGGCAAGCAAAGCGGTGAGTTCTAGTGCAGGGACCTGCGAAGAGAGTATTCAAATTGGGGTGGGATGAGATAGAAGAGGAAGTACGTGAAAGCGTAAGATGGGAGGCTTCAGCAGTAACCTGTTTTCGCTTATCCCTTTGCTGTTTGAAGTAAGTAGAGCCACCCGGCCGGTAACACCACGCAACAGCCGATGCGACATGAGAGTACTGCTAATTGTAAGTATCCTGGTCGTGTGTCGGCAGGGATACTGCCAGGGTGTCCAGACATAGATAGCAGGACGATTATGATACCCAACCAAAGCCTGACCGTGGGATAGCGGCATTTGGAGGGTTTTGCGAGTGCATTGCTATCCTGCAGGTCTGGGAGAAGGTGTTCGCTGGACCTCTAACAACTAATCAACTAGGTGTGGGAGACTCCCAGTCTCGCACGGACGCCACGTGCTATAGCTTAATGGATCACGGAGGTACACAAACCGTCACGCGGTAAGATCCAACCTCTCAAACCTATAACAATTTGTGTGCACCTGCCTTCCATAAGTGCTTGCTGAAGTTTAAGTACCGATTTCTCGGGTAATACAGATAGAGCACACTTTTCTGTGGTCAAGAGAAGGGTGCCTGTCAATAGGCAATGCGTGCGTGACAGAAAAATAGTGCAACGCCAATCCTATTATTCTTTCCTATCTTCTCCATGTTTACTCGGCATCTTATGGTAAACCTACACGGTTTTTAGTTTTTTACGATTATTTTTTATTTCTGTCTATTTATTATTTGTTATTTATTTATTTTAATTTTATTCATTTTATTATTTATTTATTATTTTTTTAGATTATTTAATAGTGTAATAAAACTAGCCACAGTAACCTGTATGTTGTCCGACTTTCTGTTGCAACGCAGTGGTTATCCCGGTTTGTGATTTGCTAATGTAGGCGGTGCATAGATGGGATGCGGTCGTATCTAGAAACCACTCATAACTTATGGATGTAAGACATTCAAGAACCAGAACAGGTCCTGAAATCCAGTTCTTAAATAGTCAATTTATTTCAGTGCCTTAGATGGCTTGTTAGTAGACCCAGTTTAGATCACAGGTCGGTCCTTTGGGACACTCTCCATAGGAAGAAGACCGCTAAGGAACCAGAAGCAGTAACGTCTTGACGCCTTTCTGTGTGACTGGAACCCAATAACCCTAATAAGCATTTGCTTATATTGAGAATACTGAGCCAGTTCCGCTGATGCCGTCATACTCCTCCGAAACAGAGTACACGTGTGTGCATTAAGATCTAGTTGTTTGGGTTTTTATCGCTTTTCTTAAAGTCACAGAACGTTTTTGTAGTAAGCTCCCATGGTCTCACGTAAGTGGAAATTTAGTTTGCAACTAAGTGTTTGCTTTTACATATGTCCAATTTGGTCTTCAAGTGGAAGTTAAGAGTGATGGAAATTATGAAAATGATGAGCCCCAAAAGGCGAAACCGGAACTCTGGTATGACAGACGCTGTCTCACACGTATAGCTCAATGGCACACAAGCCGTCACACCACGGTAAGATCCAGTCTCTTCGTATTCATGGACAGCCAAAGATGAAGGGATCACATTGGGCGCCATTGTTTTCGATCCCTCCCAAACCGTTCTTGTATTACGAACGTGACCATATTTATGGACAGCTTAATTCAAGCTAAGAACGAAGGGCCCATATGTTTAGAATTTTTTTAAAGCATTTGATCGAGCACTACACGTCCCGCTGCTCCAGAATCGCGAAATACAAGAAGAAATCCTACGATGGATTTAGGTATTCTTATCGGACAGAATATTCCAAGTAAAAGTAGTCTCTACCTACTCTTCTACACTGTCGTTCTCAATTGGAGTTGCCCAAGGATCTGTTTTTGAACCACTTTTGTTTCTGATCTACGTCAACGATCTTCTTCAAGGTCCATGCCTATTTTTTTCGGGCGACTCGAAATCCTGGATTTCCAGTGCCAGCGCCCTCCAAATAGATGTAGACGCTGGAAAACAGTGGTCGCCGGACTTACATCTTCCCCTGAAGGATGAGAAGTACGTGTGTCATTCGAAGGAGACCCAGCGAACGCCTTTGTTGTCCATGGTGAGAATGGATCAGAAGGCATTGCGAGAATATCAAAAAGAATTTATTTATCTGGCTCTCTTTCAACGTGTCTTTCTCACTTCGCAATGAAATAACCTCCAAAAGGTATTCGCTGTCCTACGTATGATTCACGGCAGCCTCTCCCGTATTACCCGCGTGGACTTCCAGATACTCTGTCGGCCCTGCGTCATAGCGTTTCTTGAATATGACAATCAAATTTTCTACTCAGAACGCAAGAAAGACGTAATCCTTATTGAGTGTGTCCAACGAACTCTTAAGAGATGGTTATCGGCCCTAAATATACCGACTATGGAACACATCCCGCGGTGCTTGACCTCCTTCCCCTGGAGTATCGTCGCCTATGAGGAGACCTAATACTTCACTACGTCCTGTTCGAACAAGGTTTGGCGAACCGGCTTTTCACCTTTGAACCAACTAACACATTTCAGGAACATGGTAAGATTTTCAAGATCAGAACGCTACGTTTTAGTAGGCTACAATTTTTCTCATTTCGGGTAGTTGGTGCGTGGAATAACCTCCCTCCCATGGTTGTTCACGTTGCATCTAGTGTCTGTTTCAAAGCACTTTTTGAAGTTTTCGTATGAATACTCGCGCTAGCTGGCTTACTGCCTCATGCTGAGAACATGCGGACCTATGCTACACTCTTTATTCGCTTGTGCCTTTCAGGTGAACGAAAGCCGCTAGACGAGAACAGACCCGACCGGGAGCTTGGGCGAACGGCTCGCCCCGTGTATTAATCCATGAATCTGCGAATCTCTTACGGTACAATGATAGTGTTTTGAATGGCATACAACCAAAACCGAAAATTTTGTGACGAAAACCTCCGATAACTGTTGGTCCGACCCTCAAGAATACAGACTTTGCGGCTGTCAATCACAAACAGTACCCATAAGATGTGCGATTATCGGGGCGGAACCGCGCAGGGAACAATAAATCGTGTAGGTAAAGATAAATACGACGATTGGCTTATCCATACACATCACGGATATCAAGTACGTAATTAATTTATAAAAAATTGTGCATCCATTCCAGTCGAGATGGCTTTCACTAACAGTCAAGTTATTCGCCACGTACGCTATACAGCAAAATGGAAGTCCATTCAGACTTCGTCGCCTTCCCTTTAACCGGACCATGAAAAGCATACCAACTAAGTTAGTTCAATCGTTCTACCGAAAGAAAACATCAACACTGGCATTCACATTCTCGGGGAGAATTGGTTTTTCAAGGGTTGTGCTTGGAGAATGAAGCAATAAGAATGGAATTCAGGCCAAAGCCAGGTAGCACACGAGATATACGATTGTTCAAATAACCGGTCAACCTTGACCTCCTTGATCCAATCGATTGGATGCAATAACCATGATCGTGTTAGTTCATTTGCAGTTCCGCAGACCAGGCGTTCCATCGGTCTGTCCAGAGGTATCGAGCATGTTCGTTGTCCCACACATGTTGGGATGTGTTGTGCCGTCTCAATGCGCCAAGTGGAAAATGTCACGTATGCATAAGAAATTTTGAGGTTTCTAGGACGTTCCTCGGGTCCAGCAGGAAGTGTAGGTTGCCCATTCGCTGGCACCATGCATTCAACACCATCATGCAGATGATTTGTGCGAAAATTAGCCAATCCAACCCTTGGTTTGCACATTTGTTCCCCCACGCCTTTCCAGGCTATCCTGTCAACTACTGGAACGCTTGGAATGAAGGAGGATTCGAAAGAACCACATTCTAATCCAGACACCCAAATGGGAGAAGACATAAGAATCGGTGATCTTCAGGCATATGACGTGACTGCAATGATGACAGTTATAGCCGTATGTTTAGACAGTAAATAAGATATACATCAGATGGGATGAAAACGCGGACTATGAAAACACTTCCGGTCTTTTGAATACCAAAAGCTTTGTTCGGCCCGTTGGACTCCTTGAAGATTTCGATATACTTTTCTACCACTTGTTACTCTGGCACGATTCAAATAAAATAGTCTATAAAAATTGAATACATGGAAGCCAAGGAACCATTCGCCGGCTACGACGGGCTAGCGAAAAACCCTAGTCTCAAGTTTCCCTGTCCAATTATCTCATCACATGCGCTCAGCACATTTTTGCGCTCACGACTTTGAAACTGCTTCAGATGTATGCTTTGACCTCCTAGCGCAACGGTGAACCTATGCTGGGGAATTTTCAGAATCATCCAAGATGAACACGCTGAAAAGTCTTGAAATCTATAGGGTCACAATGGAGAAAACACAAAAATTATGTGGATTGTGACGAAGGCGCGTACTTCAGTCACCACGAGAGACGAACTACGCCCAAGAAGATCTGAAAATTTTATGTCCACAAGCTTTCGTATGACAGTCCCACTGACGTGTATAGCCTGGGGAAAATGCTGGTTCCACTAAAGTTTTAATTACCGGCTGCGATGTAACTGGCAACCCAGATCGTCTGGAACGCTGCGAAAGACATGCATCTCTTAAAGTAGGTTGACCACACGCCGAGGTTTGGAATAGCTTCAAGAAACTTCCGTGACCATTCCCATCCGTGTAAAGCAAGCATCAATCTAGAAGTATATTTTAGGGTGTGAGAATTCACTGCGGAGTGCGCGATGAGCTGAGCTCTCCTGCAAACATCTAGATCAGATCAAAAGACCAAGCTGGAGACACTTGGTATATGGGGCTCCCACGAATGTTAGGAGCGTGCAAATCAGCCGTAAAATGAAAAGAACGGCGCGACCGGTCCGGCCGGGCCAGAAGCACCCAGATGAGAAATGCTCACTTATTCTTGAAGTGGAAGTGGAATAAGTTGTAAAAACGGTCTGGCATCATCAAAAGCCCAAAATTAGCAGAGATTTCTCTTTACCCTTCAACGAATAAAGCAGTCATGAAGGAAACGGTCGAACTGGTAGGAGGGCGTTTTGGAGTATCCGAGTCCGGGAGTGAGTGGTATCGGGCAAAGATGTCTAGTACCACAGTCCACCGTAAGCGGGGTTAGTAAATTCCTGATCGGTACTGTTTGCTCGTGAATGGACTTTTCACTGATGATGTTTAGTTCTCACTCGCTGCTATCAAATGCCCATAATTTCCAAGCAACTCTATCCATTGCACAACTAAGTCTGATGAGTGTGACAAAACGCGGTTGTCAGTTGATACTCCAAACACGTATGTTTCAATTCCTGGTTGTACTATACTCCGCTCTGACAGGAGAAAACCAAGGGATGAATGCTGTACCATCTATGCCAATTCGTTCAGCCTAGGATAGTTTCAGAGGCCATCTGAATCTCTATAGAACAGATTAAACGACCTATACTGGCAGGGTGTATCTATATACCACTGGTCCCCGCTTCCGCTTCTGTGAGTGCCATGTCCCGTTCTATCTCCAGTGCACACGCCCTTCCTCATTCGTCCAAATTTGTTCTGGGTGACTTCCACCCACCGGATATTTCTTGGTCTCCCACCTTGGGCCCTACTCGTTAGCCTCGCTGCTTGCCCGACTTAGTGTACAGGGTTGGTCTGAGACTGTGTAATATCATTGGTGACCTATGTACCACACACCTAATGGTCCCAAATGTGGGCAATCTGGCTAAGGCCGCAGTTGGCCCATGTTTCCCAGGAAAAGATCACTGAGTTGTTTCTCATTAAACGTCAGTTGTGGCCCAACTACTCCTCCGAGTCCTTTGCTCTTTCACCTAGATATTTTACTGGCTTTCTACCCTTGCTAGCCTCACGGGGCTGGAGCGACTTCCATCTCTCAACAAACATAACACATTTGTGGCATCCACAAAAAACCTGGTGACCTTTCTATGATTTGCCCCTCCTAATAAAAGGTTCCACTCTGGTATCTCTCCCCACAAAGAGTTTCTAAAGATATTGGATAGTAAGATACACCGAACTGGCAGAAAATATCCGAACTCCCGGGGTTGGTGGTTGGTACTCCTCAACAAAAAGCTCTCGGTCGACCAAGAATTTTTACGGGTGCCATTCGAATGCTAAGAAGAACGCAGCAATCTTATGGCCACTTATAGCTGTAAATTACTCAGCGGCATGTTTCTTGGCGCTGTACCTCCAAGCAATCACTCAGTTACCTGTCCTCGTTTCACCGATGGTAGTTTAGTCACTAATCCTATCGACATAGCTGATCACCTATACGCTTAAGTTGCCAGCCGTTCCTTACCCCTTCCTCCCATAGCCAAACCCATAATCCCTGCCGCACACCTTACATATCCGCAATAGAGTAACCACCAGTACCTCAGCAATGTAACCATCTCCCTAGCTCACGTTTCGGACCTTCCTCCTACCTTTAAGGACTCTGTCATGCCGGAGGGCGACGGCATACCACCCAGTGCTCTGGGGCATACCGGTCAATAAGTCGATATTATTGTCCTAAATCTTTTTAAGCACCCAACCAAATCTGGAATCGCACCCTCCCAGTAGAAGAAATATGTTGGCTGCCCTCAACTCAAGTCCGAATCTAGGCAAACTACCTCCAACACTAGTGGGATCCATCAAACCCTTCCTCTAGTGCGAACGTTTGAGGGTCTGGTCAAAGTCCCGTTAAGCATGTTCGTCGTAGATGACCAACTGTAGGGATCTCTGTCTCAGAGATCCGCCAAGGGCCACCAGCTTCACTTCTTTGAGACCATCACACCAGCCTATGATGTCAGACACTCTATTGTAACAGTTTATTGTGAAATCCAAAAAGTCTGACCAGCCTCCATACATCCCTGCTGAAGAAGCTTAGTTCTTTTGGTATCACTGGACGTTTATTTTAGTGGTTCACCTTATACCTATCTATAGGGCACAGATAATACAATTTGGTAATAAACAGTTATATCCATTATCAATCAATAGTGGAGTATTTCAAGGTAGCGTGCTAGGCCCTATCCACTTCCCACTGTACACCAGCGGGGTACTCGTCTCCGTATCCCATGGCAAACCCTTAACACTTGCGGAAGGAATAATAATTGGGTACACACATTCCCTCTCAGCCTTTCGCCGGATCCAAACTTAACGTGGGCTCCCTGATTCGCAGCTCGAGGTACCATAGCGTAAGCTCCTTTTATTCCAAGCCTCATAAGAATTCCTGCAGCCGCTCCATCCAAACTGATACGTTCGAAATTAATGGGAACTCCATCACTCATCCCAGGGGGATCAGGTACCCTTGCATTTTTAGCTTTTCTTGACAAGTCCAGCGCAAGATCACCCGGACACATGGGCTGTGCTTTCTAATCTTAGGCCCCTTTCATTTTCGAGACACAGTAGTCGCGGATTTTATGCTGTGCGTGCAACCAGTTTTGAAGTTCTGTTATGTTTTTTCTTCTTTTTACACCAAAGTTGTAAATAAGCATTTGAGAACTTCCAACTTTTATTCGCCAAATAGTTATTCGCACAGGCTAGTCCTCTTTCCTACCCCTCCCGCTGCGTAATCTTGGACCTTGAGCCACAGTGCATCAGGCGGTTAAATCTAAATCTATCTCTCCGATACCATTTGTTGTACTGAAATGCCTTCATAGCGAAGGCTTAGTCAAGCGTGAATTATTGCAGAAGCTCTAGCCTTCATAAATATAGAGATATCTTAGTGTGCCCCTCAGCACGAACCTGGACCACTCCTTTTTTCTAGTGTACTAAACTCGCATCTATAAGCTCGACTTCGAAATATCACATACCAACTTACGGTCTCACGGTCTGCAGATAACCTCCTTTTCTGTTAAGCCAAGCCGCCCTACTTACACCAGGCTACGCCCGATCTACTTTATGAATCGGGCCCAAATGACCTTTGATTTCGACGAAGGTGCAGTTGCTGGACAAAATCTAGAAACAATAATTTTAAAAATAAGATCACTCTGTTACTATACCTGCCTTCTTTTTAATTTGAGGCAACAGATACCTGCTTGATCTGAGTTTGCTGCACTACTGGCCCGGCTCTTTCGGGAGGCAAATTATACCAGGTTTCCTCCAGCTAGGTCCCCGCCCTGGACTAATCTACCTGCTATGTTAACCAGTGATGCTTCGCCTTGCCGCACCATCACAAACGAAAAGTCATAGATTTCTATACCTGGCGACGTCTTATACTCATACAACCCATTAAGCACACGCGCACGTGTCATTGTGGTACGCCTCTGCTTGGCTCGGTAGCTCACACGCCGTGATCGTTTAGCCATGGTTCACACGATCCAAGCATCTCCGCTCTGTTCCCACTGGTCCAATGCTATCTGTTGTCCCATTTGCCTCATCTGCAAGCTCTCTTTTCTAGCAGCTGTTTGCCGTTTGTTTGTTCAAAATGACTGAGCGGTTTTATTTACCTTGCTCTCCTTCAGCCGGATTAAATATATGCTAACTATAGTTCTTCACTCATGCACAGGCCGCAGTTAAACCATCTTGGTGTCTAACCACCTCGCAGTTCTGGTGGCCTGCACGAGGAATGAAAGCCCCGTTTAGTAGTCAGCACGTCCTGTGGAGAGGGCGCCCTTTTGCGTTGCACCATGGTAAGTTGCCACCCCTCGAGCAGAACGGGTGCTTCGCCCATCCACAGGTGTTCTGAACGTAGCCTTTTAACCACCTCGTCTGGTGGCCTGCACGAGGAATGAAAGCCCCGTTTAGTAGTCAGCACGTCCTGTGGAGAGGGCGCCCTTTTGCGTTGCACCATGGTAAGTTGCCACCCCTCGAGCAGAACGGGTGCTTCGCCCATCCACAGGTGTTCTGAACGTAGCCTTTAGTTTAAGGAATCCATAGAAACGTACTGCTGTTTCCTGTTTATCGCCCCTGTGCTGGACTCGCCCCGGTTGTATAATTTAACTGGCATAGCTACAAACCACAGACAAAGGAAAACTGACCTTCCGC